AGAAGCACAAGCTTCATGCTTTGTCAGCAACGGAATAGTGTGGTGGGTCAAGTACAATGTATCGTACACCTAACTGTAGTGCCGGGCACTCTCTTCTAACAGGGCTCACTGCCTCTTCTCCCTTGTGCAGCTCCTCTCAATTTTGTTGTTCCTCTTCGCACAGCATCTTCTTGTCGATCGCACCATCCTTTACTAGATTGTGCAGGCCTTGCTCTTCATGCGTTGGCATCAAGTTGTTCGCACCGCCCACCCTCTAATGCCCGCGGCTTCTTTCATAAGAGTGCCAGATACTTCTCCTTCAACGCACGACCTCATCTTACAACCCGCAGACTTTCTTCACAATGAGCGCATATGTTCTCCTTCTGGCACTGAGCGACAAAGCCACTGCTATGACAAAATTCGACATGCATGCATCTTCACATGAGAAAAGGCCAGATTCACACGTTACGACTACATGTACAAAACTAGAAATGTACAGCAAGTCTCTCTAGGTGCGGCGGGCTACGGCCGCATGCTACACTGTTACATGCTGCGCCTGCAACAGGCTGCACAGGCCATTTTCAGGCCCGTGACGTTTTCAGGCCAAAAGCCTGAAAACAAGGGCCTACAGGCCCTGTGTCGTTTCAGCCTAAATCAGGGCCTTTTCGGACCTGAGCCTTTTCAGCCTGAAACTGAGGGCCATTTCAGGCCCTCATCAGATCGACCCGCCCTGAAACTCAGGCACCAAACCAGGGTTTTAGCACAGGCCATTTTGTGCCTGTTTTCAAGACAACCCCTGGTTGAGCCTCAAGGCCAGGGTCTGGCACGTTTCGGCATTGGCAAGAGCAGCCTCCTGGACGGGCCAGCAGGTAGTTCCTAGGTACTTCCCAGGCACTTCACGTGCAGTTCAGGAGGCAGTAGGTCGTCTTCAGGATTCGGCAGCAGCACTCTGGAGGAGCGCTGCAGGAGTAATAGTAGCGCTAGCAGTAGTCTTCAGCGCTGGGTGCTAGAAGGAGCTAGAGTAGTACTGAAGAGAGAGAGAGAGAGATTGGGCGGAGGCCAGGGATACTTACCTGCAGCGCCATAGCTCCAGCTTCGCCTTCGAAGTACCTGCAGCACAGCGCCATCTTCACAGGTTAGTACCTGGCATATGAGAGAAAGAGAGTTCTTCTTCTTCCTCTTCTCAGTCCACTGTCTCCCTCTCACCCTCTCGCTACCTGACTTCACTGCATCAGCAGACTATGAGAGAGCGGGCTTGGTGACATTTGGATCCAGACTCGACATTGGGCTTCAGACATTTTGACGGGCAATTATTTGGGACGTGTAACAAAGACTTGGTATTGACGTCATTCCCATCTCTCCCCCTCCTCTTCGTCTGTTCCCCTCCTCCCCGTCTGTGCATGATTTGGACCTGGCGCATTCTTCCTGCGTGTAGCACGAGGCCCACTTCACACCTTGTGATGAGAATGATATATGTTTGGTCTGCGTTGCAACATTGATTGGGCTAGTCATTGGTATTCTAGCATTCTGCTGCGCTGTCTTGCACTACGTGATAGAGGTCAGTCCCGGTCAGGTCAGGACTTGTATCTAAGTCTTCCCCTGCACTATAAAGCACCCTTTTTGTATGTATCAGAATGTACACTGCTGGTTGAGATTTCACTTGTACTGCATTGTCCATTCAGTCCTTTTTATCACATTGCGGATCCTCGGTTTTATATGTACATCGCCCAACTGGGCATGTAACATACACCAACAACAACAAGCAAGCATGTCTCTCTCTCTCTCTCTCTCTCTCTCTCTCTCTCTCTCTCTCTCTCTCTCTCTCTCTCTCTCTCTCTCTCTCTCTCTCTCT